TTTAAAAAGAAAAAGCAAACGCCTTCCCCTCCGCGTGGACATGCGTTCCCACTCGCCCTGCTCCCTCTCCCGCCCTGCGCCAACACATTCCCATTCAGCAGCAACGATCTGCGCAGAGGAGCTGCGCAGTCGCCGGGCTTGAATTAGGCGCCATCGGGCTTGGTAGTAGCCCTGCTGCTCCCTGATTGGCAGCTCCCTGGCCCGGCGCCAGCCTATTGGGAGGCCTGTTTACGCCGAATGAGTGGCACGAGCTCCCGGCCGCGGAGGGCCGCTCGGCCAATCAGGGCGCGGGCTGCTCGGGGCTGAGTGGCACGAGCTTATTAGTATGCAGGGCCCGTGGCTCGCCGCGCCGGGCTGCAGGTTTGAGAGCCGCTCTGGATGGGCTCGCTAGAGTCGTTGTTGTGGAAGCGGTGCATTTACAGTGCAACAGTCAGCACATTGAAAATACCAATAGGAATACAAAACAAAGTCACATTTACTGGTTTAATTGTATTGCATTCAATTGTATCCAGGAAACAGCCTCCAGTAAGTAACTGAAATTGCTTTCAATTTTTTTTTGTATTTTTATTATTTTATTTTTTATTTTGGCTTTGGGGATTTACATTTTTTTAAGCAAGAGAAATTCAGGGTTGCGATGTTAAGAAATATATATATTTTCCCTTTTAAGAAATCCGTTATAATGTCGAGCAAGCTTTTTTTAAAAAGATGGACTATATATAAGAACGATTTTTTTTCCTCTGAAAAATCGTATCGATCGGTTTAAAATTTCCCCCGTAATGCGTCCTTGCTTTGCTCTGAGCGCTTGTTCTCTCGATCGACACCCAGCATTAAAAATAAATAATCGCGATAGGACAGGGACCGCCAGGCTGCGTCCGGCGCGAGGCTCGCGGGCGGCTCTGGCGGACAGTCGGCGAGGTCCCCGACGCTGCCAATGTGCGCACGGCTTTGGCGGCACCACGAACGAACCCCAATTGTTTGCCTCCCCACCTTGCTCCCCTCCCCGAGCAGCCTCTGGTCAGCCCCGCCCGGTTGCGGCTCGGGGAACCGGCCGGCTCATGCTGGCCAAGGCGGCCCGGCCCCCTACCAGAGGAGCTTTCAGGCCGCTGGCCGCGTGCGGGGCGAGGAGCCAGGCGGAGAGGGATAATGGCTACGGTTTTGGGGGTTCGCTTTCCAGAGCCTAATTCACTTTAGAACATTTCAGAATTTTTTTTTTCCAGGGCGGTGAGGGTGGAGGAGGGGGCCAGCGCAGCCGGGCTTTCTCACCGCGCGCGTTCCGGGTGGCGCGCGGGGCTCCTGCCACCATCCGGCAGGGCGGGGGTCTGCGGGTGGGTGGCGCCCTGGGGGCGTGGGG